AGATCGCAGCTTTTGAGTATATGCATTCCACACATGTGAAGTTTATTGTTCTCTATTTTCCTTATCAGGACTACAGATGAGTATCAAATATCATATAAAAGAGATGTCATCCCTACAAGAATACTAGAAATAAAAGTGGGTAATTGACGAGGACCATGCCCGTTCAAAAACTTCTAGAGCTCCACAGAAAGACAATCATTAGTAAAATAAATAAGCCAGCCGTTGCTTCTCAACATGCAGATAACATGATGTATAACTCAATTCCATGACCAGAACGTGAAACATAAATCACATTATTCCAACTTTGGCTCCCATGACAAAGATCATGAAGGAAAGAAGCATCATTTAAGTTTATAGATTAATCTAATGACGTAGGTAGTTTGGTACACGGGACATCTTTAGATGAAACTCTCCATTGTAACTTACCTACTTAGCCCGAAAGATGGACATTTCATAATGAACACAGTGCCATCATCAAAAAATTTCCATACCTTGACAAACCCCGTACGACGGTCAAGATTCAAGTGTAGATTCTTCATCTCTCCAAAATCACCAAATGCATTTTGTAGATCATCCTCTTGCGCCTCTTCATGAACGCCAGTAACAAGAATAATCCAACCTTCAATGGCTACACAGGCAAAAGAGACAATAAGAACTCAACTTCAATCCCAATAACCAGCTGCAATATATTTGAAGGGATGGTAAGAATGCTATCTAACCCAAAATGACTATTACTAGGTCTTATCAACAGTAAAGAGTACATTAACAGTTAACACTAGAAAGAATATGAGGGTACGTGTATAACATCAATCTAACATTCCAAAAAGTTAAAAGAATCACCATTTAAACTCACATCAAGCTCAAAGAATCCTTTTCTCCACAACTGTAATGATAATGTTCACCAATCAATGCTAATGACAAAATTCGTCACAAAATCAAAATAGAAGATCATGTTTACTGATGCAGGTACTACACCCTAATGTCCGGGGACAGCCGACCAACATATCTTCATTCAACAATCCTGATACTAATGCATTGTCATGGTAGACAAAATAAAATTGTGAAATCAAGTACAAATATTAATCCTAAAATAACGTCCCTCTCTCTCCATAGCTAACACCCACAACCATCAATTTTGTGCATCCCTTAATGAGAACTAACAAGTTATAAATATTAAAAAAAAAAAAAAAAACTGTAATAAGGGTTTTCATACAGAATTCATTTCTCTCTCTTTACGAAACAAATAGGAATAAGGCCAGCTATGACCAAACCTACACATATAACTATGCCAAAAACGAATTAAAGGCTAGAAATGCTGGGGTTTTGATGCTTACATCGTTCAGGGCCAGGGCCTCCTTCAGAGTCGAGCGTGTCAAACCGGGCAGACATGCGAGCACTGCGGTCGGCTTCAGCAGCCGCCTCATCTCGGAACCCACGGCCCTTGGTCTTCTTAGGAGCCGATGATGAGCCACTTCCGGCGATGGCAGACCTCAGCCGGGGGATAGCGGAGGCACCGTTACGATTAGGGGATCCGTCGCCGACGTCCTCGTCCATTAGATCGTCATCCTCCGGCTCGAAATCAATCGCCTCGGCCTCCGCGTTCGCCATGAGAGAGCTTTTATGTTTCTCGGCTTCAGATGTGGAAGCGAATGAGGGTTTTAGGGATTTCTTATCAATGTCGGATTTTGCACAATTTTTAAACCCTATAGGCTAGCACTATTTCTTTACCGCTTTTGAGTTTTGACAGTCATTATTTGTAAAGGGTTTGTTTGTAAGTTAATTTATATTTAAAATCTAACTTAAGTTTAACTCAATTATGGTTACAAAAGAAATTAGAATTACTCAATCCAAATTAATTTATACTCAAAATTTAACTCAACTTTAATTCAAATCCGCTAGCCTCAATATTTTATCAATATAATTAAATAATAACAACCAATTATTTTTACACATCATATCAACTTTAATTTATTATTCATTCATTCATATAATTTTAACTAACCATCATTTCATATCATTTATCTCCTACTTTTACCATCAAATTTTTAATTATTTTATTTTAAATATTATTTTAATATAAACTCAAAATCTCAGTAACAATTACTATACTACTTTTTTAAATTAACCATAGTTAACTAAAAAAACTCTCTTTGAGTTAATTTGAGTGAATTTATTCTTTCACAAACACAACAATTATCTTCAATATCTCCCTTATATATAATTTCATAATGTGTTGAGTCTAAGTGACAATTTCGCACTCTTCGTAATCTTATATGACAAAATATGATGCTTTGTATTATGGCTTTGAAGCTTATGGTTGGATTACTATAAGTACAAATATTGAACATGTTTAAATGAAATTATTCCGGGAAAAGTATGTTCCAATGTTTGACTCTTTGTTATTACGTCACAATATGACTTGCATTTTCAATTTTCTCATTTGATGATTTCAATTTTAAGTTATTCTCAACTGAAGGCTTACATTTAAATTATAATTCTCGATTTAAGGCCTACTTTAACATTATACTTCTCAATTTAATGCTCCAAATCACTTTGCATTTTGACATAAATATTTAACCAAAATAATCTTTTTTCTTTAGATTTATTTGTTAATTACTTATAATTAAGAGTTATTAAATAATTTTTATAAAATTACCTAATAAGATAATTGCTTCATATTTATATTTATGCAAAAGCTCATTGAAATTTATTATTTTAAAAGTTACAAGATAAATTTGAACGTATTTTAATCTAAATATGTGATAACATCAAAAAATAAATTATTTAGAAAAATATTTTTTAAATAGAATTATAGAAAATATTATTTTTGAATCAAATTTATACTCAAAAGTTAGGGATACATAAATTTTATACCTACAATAAAATTATTAAATATATTTGTAAAACTAACTTTATATGAAAATTAATTCATATAAATTACATTTTTGCAAAATTTTAGCCAAATTATTTTTTAAAGTTAAAAAAAAATTGAGAATTTAATTTTAAGAATATATAATTTAAATATTATATTAACTAGTATTTAATAAAATTTTAAATAAAGTATTTATAAAATTATTTTAATTTTTATATCTAAGCCTCATTGTTTTTATTATTTTTATTTTATCTAAATTCTATATTTTCAAGCATCATCAATAGTCAAGCTTAGAAAAGTTTTATAATAACTCTAAAAATCATATTTTTTTCTTTTATTACATATTTTGATTATAAATAAAAATAAATTAAAACAATATGTAGATAATGTATTTCCAAAATAACATTATTATAAACAATAATTGTATTCATAAATATTTAAAATAATATTTTTATATACAAATAATACTTTCAATAATGTGAATTAGAAAAAAGTACAATATTTTCTTCAAGAGTTTTTTTCTAAATTTATTACATATTTATATTATCAATTAATATAATATTTAAGTCATACAAATTTGATTTTCAATATTTTTAAGTTTAGAGTAAATTTCATTAATCTTTTGTATAAATGCAGCTTAAATGAATTAATTTTCTTACTAAAGTAATTTTGCTAAAGATATTATTATAATTATATAAAATAAATATTTAAAAGTATAGTATTTTGGTTTACATAATTATGTAAAAACGTAAAGTTAGTTGGTGTCTTAAATTGAGAAACCTTAAGCATAAACTAATGATGTATATAAATTACTTTTTAGAATTTAAAATAATGTTGTTCATTCAATTAGTTCTTATTTTAAATTGTTATATATTGTTCCTTATTTATTTTATCCAATTTCAACAAATTATATAAACATTTTAGTATTTCATTTTCCGTTGTACATTAACTAGTTTATCAAATACCCGTGTAGTACACGGGTATTGTTGGCATCCGAGTTGATAAGCATGGATCAAGAACTTAAAACGTGCGGCAAAACAAATTAGTGACTAATGTATTCCCAGAAGGCAGGGCTCCTAGGCCGGCCTCGTTGGACGTGACGCCCAGATCGACTTCATTGTTTAACGATAGACAACCTGAACTTAAAGACCGACGGACGAGAGGGACAACATGATGTAGTAGAGTCCGAGCTCACAATCAAGAAGAAAGCCCGAGCCCTGGGCAAAAGGAGGGAAATCCAAATTCAAGCCACAACCAATCCCACTAACCTCAAAATTAATTAAAATTAATTCATATTCAAAATTTAACTCAATCCAAATAAATTCAAATTAATTCATACTCAAAAACTCAATTTTAACTCAATCTCAATATCTTTAATAGTATCAATATAATTAAATAATGACAATCAATATTAATAATAACAATCAATCATTTTTGCACATTATATCAACTTTAATTCACTATTCATCCACCCACATAATTTTAATCTAACCATCACTTCATATCACTTTTCTTATATTCTTACATTAAGTCAACTTTAATTATTTTATTTTAAATATTATTTTAATGTAAATCCAAAAACAACTAACTATACAATTTTTTCTTAAATTAACTCTGACTGACTAAAAAACTCACTTTGAGTTAATTTTAGTGAAAGGGCGTGCTTGTTTATCAATTATTCCACTCACATTTAATTCATACTAAAAATTTAAACTCAACTTTAATATCTTCAATATTATTAATTAATATAATTAAATAATCTAAATCAATATTTCTTACACATCATATCAACTTTAATTCACTATTCGTCCACTCACATATTTTAAACTACCTATCATTTTCAATCATTTATCTTTTACATTTACATCAAATATATTTTAATCATTTCATTTCAATTATTATTTTAATAACTCTTAAAATCTTACTAACAAATAACCATACCGAATTTTTCAAAATAATTCATTTTGGACTCATTATTTTCATATTTTGTATAACAAGCGAGCCTTCATCCCTCTCACTCTCCCAAATTTACACGCTCTGCGCACCGTAGCCCGGTGTGGTACTCTCTCTCTCTCTCTCTCTCTCTCTCTCTCTCTCTATACGTTCGAGCTTATAAATTTGTAGTGAAATGGGCCCGCTTACATTGGCTGTCGATGCGAAGAGCTCGTCTGGATTATCATCAGGTGGTTCAATTATCTATCTACTTTAGCTGTTCCATATTAGAAAATTAAAAAAAAAATGTTTAGCTGCGAAAAATCTGCTCTTGTTTTCGTCCCAATTTACATGGTACTGCTTTGTGAATTTGAAAGTTAGCAGAAAAAAAGATAGATTGAATTGGTTAAATTCGACGTGATAATGGTTGTGCTTTAAGGAAATAAAGGAAATGGTTGATAAGTTGCTTCTTATGACGATAGATGAAACTGTTATCCGTTTTTATATTGGGATTCCGAAGCGTGATGCCTTGTACATTATGTTTTCGGATTGTGTTTCGGATGGAATTAGGTTTGATTGTTGCTGAACAAGTAAAAAGGGATCAATACCCTTATACCCTGAACAAAATAATATGATTTTTTTTTTTTTTAAATTCAGCATCTTATCTTATATAGAGTATAGTGTTTCTTTTTGTTCAAATTTATTTAAATGGTTGATGTTGTTGTGCAGATACTTGCAATAGGAAAACGCCAGACCTTGTGCAACCAAAAAAGTTCTTCGCCTCAGTCAACGTGAAAGATGAAAAGCCATTCGACTTTTTGCGGATATTATTCGGTATGCTATGTAGGTAGTGAATACATTTACAAGAGTGAATACATTTATGTGGTGTTGTTTTTTTCTTAGTCTTGTTTGTGAATACCTTTACAAAAGTGAATATCATACTCTAGTAGTATCTCTCAAGTCTGAATAATTACTCATGGCGACTCTCTTAGCTTGCTTTGAAGACTTGTTATATATAGGAATAAAACTCCGACATAATTTGAGCGACCAAGAAGTATTTTTGCAGGGGAAAGGTTCCAAGTTTTATGGAGATAACAAACATGCATATGAGTGATCATGACTGATTAGTTTATCTTGTGAATATCTAACAATAGTTCCAGCAAATCAATGCATTAATTATTTAATAACAAATTTTGCAGAGGGTGTTATAGCGGGCGGTACAGCTGGTGTCGTGGTTGAAACTGCTTTGTATCCTATAGATACAATAAAGACACGACTGCAGGTCAATTTTTTTTTTTATTTTTTTTTGGTATGATATAATTTTTAAATGAAGGTTTTTGTCATCTTTATTATTGTGAATTTCAAGTTGCTGGATGATTTGGAAAGGAATGTTACTATCCTTTTTGCTTCACTGTTTAAATTAGAAACCTATAATCGCATGGATTGTGTCAACTGTCAAGCCTGCGCTTATTTTCTTAAATATTATTTAATCATTTCGATGGTATTTGTTTTCTTGGCAATCGACTATTGGTTATAAATTGCAGATTTTATATTCTGGACTATGCTACCTCTTATTGAGTAGAGATAAAGAAGAATATTCTGATTAAATTTGGAACATGATTCCACACTACTGTCCTTAGCGCCTCTTAGTTTCCTCAATAGCTTGATTGTTTTTCAGGCTGCACGTGGTGGAGGTAAAATTATTCTCAAAGGGCTATATTCTGGACTTGCTGGAAATCTGGCTGGTGTTTTGCCGTAAGAACATGTTCCAAATGCGATCATTTAACGCTTACACAAGCCAAATTTTGACAAATGATAATGTTTGTTGTCTACTCTTTTTCATTTTTCTTAGGCCATAGTCAGGCTACATACATACATATAAATTCTATTTGTAATGACGTGTTCCTTTAAAACCCTTTAGGAAGTTTAAATGAATAAGTATATTGTATGCTTGGTAAGTCAAGTATTCACTTGAGTTAGAATCTAGTGATGGAGTGAGTCTTTACAAATAAAAGAGATGTTTTGACTGTGATGGAATGGTTTCTAAGAATTTTGACTGCCATGTCAAACCAATTCCTCCTTGAGACATGTCTACAGAAAATTAAAAAATATAAAAACTAAACTAACTTGCAGTGTTTAGATATCTTGGTAGTTGCTTGTATTCATAGAAATAGTATATCAGTCAAGGAAGGCTATAAGTTGGACAGAGATGAAAAGGTCCAGCATTATGACAATTAAAAGGTAATTTTAGGTTTTAGTTAAATCAAATGCACCTGTTTCTGGCCGTACCACTAACTATTAACTTTCCATCTGTTTCAATTACAAAGGAGAGTTATCAGGATGGTCATCTACTTATTCTTAAAAAAAAAATGTAATAATTTTGCGATACTTAGGTCTACTGCAAATTTTATGACAGTGCATCTGCTGTTTTTGTTGGTGTTTACGAACCTACCAAGCAAAAATTGTTAAGGAGCTTCCCTGAAAATCTAAGTGCGTTGGCACATTTGGTAAGAAGATCTATGTTCTACTTTGTTCTTGGTTTTTATGGTTCTAACCTCTTATTTTGGTTGACCAATACTATATGCTATCATCTTGAACGACGATCTCGGACACGTTATGTCTTTTTTATTGCGTATGAGTCTCTGATTTTTATGTAGACTGCAGGTGCACTTGGAGGCCTTGCGGCCTCGTGCATTCGAGTGCCTACGGAGGTAGACGTCTCACCTTGCCTTCTCTCTCATGTGTACTTTTTTTTTTTTTTTTTACTTTTCTCAAGTTATATCTTTGGATCTTTGTTTTAATTGTTTATTATCACCTTGCATGTTTTGTTTGGCCAGTCTCATGCTCAGTCTTGATGCTTCAGGTCGTTAAGCAAAGGATGCAGACTGGGCAGTTTGCTTCTGCACCTGATGCTGTCCGCCTTATTGTTTCCAAAGAAGGCTTCAGAGGGCTTTATGCTGTATGGAGTATCTGAATATCCCTTGTCCTTACCTTTATTTGAAATCAGCTTGCCTTGTTTGTACGTATATAATAGTGTTATCAAGTGGCACCCATGGCGTGGCAGATTATTGACAAACAGCTAAATTTGTGAAGGATGTCATGGCGGCGCCATAGGCCGCTACGGTGGCCTCCATGGCGATTGCTGTAGTGGGATTTTGGCCTGCCGCCATTTACCGCCATTATTAACATTGGCATATACATTTGTTTTTTAGTTTTGACTGCTGGCTTCCTCCACTGGTATTATTATTGGTTTAATATATATGTACTTTAAGATCAGTTAGTGAAAAAAAATGAATCTCATCCCATGGTTGATATCATCTGCAGTTTTTTAACATTATATTCTTCTTCTGTGTTTTTCAACGATATAATTATGAGTTAAGTATAACTAATGTGCATTTCTGGGACTTAGTCTGATTTATTACACTGGTATCGCACTTAACACTAATATCACAATAAGATCAATTCTCACCATAACCCTGTCCTATATACACATTATATACATATATATTGAAGCTTATTTTAGACGAGCAAATATTGTGGCATTCATCAATATTGACTGATCAATTATTATTTTTGGTGACTGCTTCATATAACTGAAGCATGATACTCTATGTACTTAAGACTAAATGAATTTTACTGTAGGGATATGGATCTTTTTTGCTGAGAGATTTGCCATTCGATGCGATACAATTTTGCATCTATGAACAACTTCGAATAGGTTACAAGCTTGCGGTAAGTGTTCCATCCTTCAAAAGTGATTGTTCGGTGATTTTGTTTTTGCTTTTGTGAAAACTTCTACTTATATGGAAGGCTTCAGTAGACTAGTTAAATTGTTCCAAAATTGAGCTTTCCCTTGCTTTCTGTATGCCTGTTCCAAACATGATTATGGAGTTTGAACAAGTAGGATCTTTATCGATTCATGGAAACTGAACTGTTAGATGTCATACTGTTCTTGAATGAATATTTGAGGTTCTAATAATGCAGTCATTGTATTTTATTTTTTTATGTATATCCGAACCAGGCAAAGAGAGATCTGAATGATCCTGAGAATGCTGTGATTGGTGCTTTTGCTGGTAATTTGACTTCCAGTAGCTTTATGTGACTTTCATTTATATGCCTTTTTATCATGAACAACATGATCATCAGCAATAACATATGCCTATCAACTTTTATACCTCCCTTCGATCACCAGCTGATTCTTTTAAGCATGTTTTTGAAATTCACTTCATAAGGTGTATGAGAGGAAAATAATTATGATAAGCAATGTGTAGATGAATGAAAGAATAAGTAACAGAAAAAGGGAAAATAAAATCGTACAGCCCTGTTGACATTTTATTCTGCGAATCGAAATATAAACTGAATTCTCTTTTAGGTGCTCTGACTGGAGCCATAACCACTCCTCTGGATGTGATCAAAACTCGGTTGATGGTTCAGGTATACAAATCGGTTCAGATGTATTTCTTTTCCCTTTAGGCTTGCATAAGTTCCTGTGCTATTATGTATTTGTTGGTGAAATTTAGTTGCATGTGAATTCTTACAGGGATCAGGAAACCAGTATAAAGGCATTATGAACTGTGTCCAGACTATAGTGAGAGAAGAAGGCCCCAGGGCCTTACTAAAGGTAGGTCTCTGTTTTGCTTGTGACTAATAAAAATCCTTTGATGCACTCCCACATCGACAGTCTGAAGGTAAAAAAAAAACAACCTATGAGGTGTAGCCTTATTAGAAATAAAAAGGAAAAGGCCAATAAAAGTCTGAGAATACAAATGCTCCCTCAATACGAGAAGATACAAATTCGCACCGATGATATGTGTTCCGAATTAACAAATTTTATATCATTCTGAAAGGTGGTGTCTATGCATTTTTCCTAAAACCTTTAGGATAGTTTTTGTAATTTAACGAGAAAATGAAACGTAAAGATCTGACTATTAATGGAATATGTGATGTCCAACAACCAAACGTGTTTTCTGTCTTGTGTTCACAGGGAATTGGGCCGAGGGTGCTTTGGATAGGCATAGGTGGCTCAATATTCTTTGGTGTCCTTGAAAGCACAAAGCGCCTCCTTGCAGAGAAACGTCCCAACCCTGAATCAAAGTAGATGGTAAAACCTAACTAGAAGCTGCTTAAGTTTAGATACTGACCACCTATTAGGATCAGTATAACAGATGAAATATGAAGCACTAAATTCAACAGTCGATTCTTTTATGCCCTTATTGATCAAGTGGTTACCATCTTTCACCTTAAGTCATAACGGATGGACGTGCAACAAAAGAATAATGAATAACTCCATTGCAAAAAGAATTGTGAATACTCTCTCGCACTTGATTTAGATAATATTTGGATAAATGGTTCGAATATTAAATAGTAATTACCATATGTAAATAAAATATACATAATCTCCTGGATATTTTTTTGTATAATTATCAGTGAAATTATCCTTGTTCCACCAACCACGATGGACACATTATATTGTGTATAAATGATATCAATGCTGAGTAATAGAGTAATAGTGATAGAGATGCCGAAAAAAAGGTCGAAAAACAATGGGTTGTTTACTCGAGGAAAGGGAAAGCTGGAAAGGAATAAATAAGATATGGAAATAAAATCAGTAATGCAATATGTGAGGCATGAATTAGGGGATTTAGATGAATTCATGGAGAGAATGGAAAGCTATCAATTAGTTATCTTACCTTATATTTATTATCCTATTACCTTATATAAATAATAATAATCTTATTAAAGGGAGTGAGGAAGTGAGAATGAGGGACCAGGAAGAAATAATCTTAATAGCTAGGCTATTGGGCAAGTTATCTTGTTGGGAAGTTTTACACTTCTGATCATTGTTCTTTCTTTCATTTATAGTAAATTTGTTTATTCATTCCTTTTACTATTAGTTCTCCAATTCTCTGATCCTTTACTCCCATCAAATAGGAGACAAGAATCTTTTTTGTTACACATGGAAAGCTAGACTTACCCTTAGGAAAAATTGACTCTACCCTTAGGGACAATGCAGTCAGTCAGCCCCCAAGGGCCGTTGATTTGCATTGCCCTTTGGGCAGGGTCGAATTTTACCTACCCTTTGATCTTTTGATGCAACTATTGGATTATGCCACCATAGTAGAGCTGCTCTTCCAAGTTGCTTGTGAGTGCTTGAACCAAAACTCAACTTGGACTTTGAGTTAGTCGGGACTTGAGACGAGCTCAAGTACATCAAATTCCAAAGTAGAGTCGAGCTTGAGCCTATATGTTGTAAGCTTGAGTGCTTGATAAGGGCTTCCACATCGCCTGTCTTTTGCTTCCGTTTAAACGCTTCATCTGGGTCAAACCAATGTTAACAATTCATTTATTAAATGTCGGGGCCCTCTCGTTCATTTTTTTTCGAAATGGCAGGTTCATTAACTCGAACACATAATTATAACCGGCTAACTAGACGGAATAAGAGGACTACACAAGGCAGTCTAGATACCACAATACACACTAACAAAACCAAAAGGAAAATAAAAAACTACCACGAGGGAATACACAAAATCACACTCTCAAAAGGAGAATAACACACTCCAAAAGAGGAAAAAACAAAACACAACCAAAGAAAGACACTCCACAGTATAACACAGAAGAAAAA